CCGCCCGCTGCTCCGCCCCCTCTTTTCCCGGTCCCACGGCCGAGGCAACTCCTTCCATCTCCCTCCGCTGCTCCGCCTACAGTCTCCCCGGGGGCTCCTCCACTCTCAGCCTCTCTACCCGCCAGCCCCCACCCCGCCTGCCGCTTCTCCTCCGCCCCAGCCCGCTGCTCCTTCCCACCCACACCCCGCTCAGCGTGCTCCTCCCTCTCCCCTCCCGCTCCAGCACCTCCTAAGGCCTCGCCGGGAAACCGCACGGGGGCCAGGATGGGCGCCACCGCGTCCGTCCGCCCCCGGGCCACCGCGGAGAGGAAGGGGGGCCGAGAGGACGGTGCCCCACCCGGGCTGCAGGCGCAGCCTGCCTAGGGCTGACTCCTGGGGCCCAAACAATTCTTGGGGGAGAGGGCGGTCACCTCACTTCACCCACACCTCCCCTCTGCTCACTTGGGGTAGGGGGGGCAGCCGTGCCCTGGGTCTCCGAATACCCGCGAAGGTGGGTTGAGCCCCCGAGGGGGTCCGAGGGAGCTGGGTAGTTGGAGGAGAAAGCCGAGGTGGGGCAGGGAGGGTCAGTGGGGCAGCTGGGCAGGTGGCCACTTCTCCTGCCTGGAGAGCCCCAGAAGTGCTGACCCAGAGTCCCCACTCAGAGTCAGCAAGCACCCTGACCTGCCCCGAGCACTGCCATCTTCCAGTCGGGAGGGTGTGATAGTTTGAACAGATACCCAAGTAGGCCACTGCTGGGGAGGAAGCCAGGTCAACTCCTCAAACATGAAACCTCGTGCTAATTTATGTTCCTCTGACATGTCATCGCTGGGGAAACTGAAGTCCAAAGTTGGGGTTCTCTCTTGCTCCAAATCCCCCAGTTACTTAGTGCTCCAGACCCTTGGCCACAAGACTTAATGCCAGGATACGCAGGAAAATATCAGGGAGGTTTTTAAAACACTACTAAAGTGATGCAAAAATAGTAAAAACTCTTAACAGGGGTCCAAATGGAGACATCTAGGGAAAGAGCCTAGAGGAAAACCTGCCAAAATGCCCCCCAGTAGTTTGCATTCCTTCAGAGGGATGAGTTTTATAAAAATTCTTTTCCTCCCAAAATTGTTTGTAAAATGGTAATATTACTTTTAGAAGGGGAAAGTTGTTTTAAAAAAGAAGAATGTGAGGGCATGGAAAGTGCTAACTGGGCCATATCCAAGGAAGGCCTTTCCTCCCACAAAGCAGCAACTTCTTTGCTCCCCAAGTATCTGCCCCCACCCGAATGTTATAAGCCAGAAATTCCGCCACTGGAGTCCTTTCAGTTAAACGTGGATGGTTATTCAATGTCCAAGGGAAAGAGAGGGAGAGTATGAAAAAAGCAAATACTTGCTGATCTTGCACGGCCCAGGGAATGCCCAAGTGCCTTGCTCTGACATCTTCCCTTCTGATGGGCATGATTTATTCCCAAGGGGGCTGCCACAGCCTTCTTTTCCCCTCTCCTCCTGCCCACCCTGCAGTCATCTCGCCACCCAGCATGGCCCGGCTGAAGCTGCATTCTGGCCCTTCCAGGCATCATGTCGTTTGAGAATTTCACAAATCAGGGCTCTATCAGTGGAAATTACCCTGAATGGGGCTGGAGCGTATTGCAGCGAAGCCAACCTCAACAGAGCGGGGTGGAAATAGAGGGAGAACACCCCACACGGCAAAGGACTCGGGAAGGACACAGATGAAAAGTACCAAATAGAGAGGAAGGGGGCGTGGGAAGCTACATCCATTAGGAGCTAAAAAGCCTTTCCCCGAGGGTGACAGGTGTTATGTATTCATTCTAACTGGCAGCAAGTATGTGCTGCAGACCTACTAGGTGCAGGCATTGTGCTGGGCGTTGGGGTGCTGCAGAGAGAGGGAGTCTCTGCACTCCCTACCCCCCAAGTTCGGGACTAAACAAGTAGGCACTTATGACTGTGACGTGTCTACAAATGAGGCCAGGCTGCCAACCTCAAACTGGGGACTCAGAGGAGGCCTTTTGAGACCAAAAGAAAGACATCTTGGAAACTGAGGCTCAGGTCTTCAGATTCCCGAGTTCTGAGCCCTTGTTCCTTGGCACGTGGAGCCGCTGTCATCAAATACTTGCTGATTTGCATAGCAGATGCAGCGCCCCGCCCAGATCTCCTTGGCTGGGGCAGGCACCCTTTCAGAGAATTACCCGTAGCTGACAGATGTCTGAGACGTTACACCCACCCCCTCAGGGACTCATTCTGCAGAATGACAGCCCAGCCCCCTTGCCTTGATGAGACAAACGCTAGTGCACCCCACACTCCAGAGCTGCTGTGAGCTACCGCGGCTTTTCTAGCTCCTCCCTGCCCTAGCCTGCCTCCCATACCTCCATCAGCCAGCACACCCCAATCACTCACTCACATGAGAACCCCTCCCTCGACACAGCTTCTAGAGGGGCTGATCTAAGACAGTCTGCTGCCTCACTCCCTTCCAAGTGCTTAGCAAATATGAGTCATTTGATCATCATAACATCTACAGGTGTCCCTAATGGCATTTGCACATGAATAGAATTCCGGAGTGTGACACGGCATGCCAGCAACAACAGATTGGAGACCCTCACTGAAGAAGCTTTATCCACATGCCCACCCAGGCCCCCTGGACCTCTCTGACTCAGTAAGTAAAGCAGGCCCATTGCATTTGTCTTGGGAACATGAGCCATTGAAAGTAAGAGGCCAGAACTCGGAGTGCCCTGAGGCCCCGTCTGTTGCACCATTGGTCCCTTTGACTTGTAATGTTTGCCCCAGGCAGCTACTGATTGTCTCTAAAGACCTGTGCTGGGCATTGGAATGGAAGAGAGTTGGTAGGAGGGGTGAAGGGACTCTTAAGCTTTGCCATAAATTGGAAAGCCTCGTATGCGTGTGTTAATTGTTAGGGAGAATAAGGCCTGTCTTTCTTACAGTCAAGCGGGGCTTTCCATGTTGGACACAAACACATGCACACACAAAACACTGTAGGGAAAGCAGTCTTTGGTCTTCGCTAAATGCACAATTATGCATTCTTTATTGCCTCCATATTAAAACCACAGCCTTGCCAACAACAAAACTACAAACATTGGAGTGACCTCTCCTCCCACCAAGATTTCTGATGGAAAAACAGCTCAGGAAAAATCCACTTAGACTCTGGGTAATCGAAATGCAAATAATTGTTCTCCTCCTCAGAGACCCCCGGGGAAATCCCCTTGCCGAAACTGTTAAAATGCACTCAAGTATAGCTTGCAGCATATTTTCTTTAAAATGCTTGTTAAGGAGTAAATCCAACACACTCCTTGCATACCAGACAAGCAAGCACAGAGTTTGGAGATTTTTATTCTCAATTAGATTCGGTCTTCTCTCCCCACCCCTCTTCCCAAAGGGTAACTTTTGTTTTAAAAAGGAAGGAACAGAATTGCATCTATACACATTCAATACTTGAGAAGCTTCTAGAAAAGGGAGCACCGCAAAGGCTGCAATCATCATGTCTAAAATGAGAGAAATAAATACTGCCAAAGAAGTCTTGCTTACTTGTGTAAACAATCAAGTGTTCTAGGAAGTGACACATTGGGTAATTCTACACAATGTGCTAAGAGGAAAACGGAAATGGGCCGGATTGGGTCTGAAGAAGAAATGGCTCATTGTTTGGCATTCTTCAAATGCTGGAATAATTACTCGATTATGGGCGCTTCCCATGTATCTAAATAATGCAAATCCACACACCGTGGAGATTAGATGTAGCTCTTGCTAATTCCTGTCTTGCTGGTTTAGGGACTGTAAAGAAAGAGAGAAATGCCAAGATCCCTAACCCCAGACCTCTCCCCAGGCTCAGAGATTGGAATGGGGAAGGGGTGGGGTTATTCCTTGAGCCTTTATTTCACGATTCTGTGTCTTTAACTTTAGACACTTATTTGACTTGTGATCGGAAAAGCCGTTGTTTAGATTTTGTGTGTGGACGGGGAGGCTGGGAGCATTTTTCTCAAATGGGACTTCCTTGATTTGTGTCCAGTTTTGAGATAAAGGGTTTTTCTCATTTCCTAATCTTCCACTCCAAAGAGATGCAGGGTATTCCGGAAGAGTCAGCTGTGTGGATAAGCCAAACAGTCTGTGTTTGGTCCATTTTAGTGCTTCATTCTGCTCTGCGCTGGCTTCTCAGAGCGAAGCCAATGTCCTTGGACTCGGTTCATGGCTGTCATGTTGCAGGCAGACTCCTTTTGTACCTGGGTTATTAAAATGCAGCTTAAAAAAATGTTAGACCACTCTCTCTCCCAAACTTAGAACACTCGTAGTCACCCACTTCCTGCTCTAAGTCTCCCTTCCCAAAGCTACAGTTTTACTTCTTCTCTTTCCTAACCCATGGGCTATATTCAACAAAATGCTAACGAGCCAATTGAAAATGTATTCCAGGCAAACCATAATTTCAGGAAGACACAGCTGCCATGAGCCAGCATACTACAAAGTACTCCTGGCTGGATTCTCTCCTGTTTAGGATTATGACTCTGGTCCCCTGTGCATTTGGAAAAACAGATTCTT